TACAGTATTACTACAGATTGAACACAAACAACAGTGCGCAACTGCACTCATCTACCAGTAGGAGACAGGATAGAGCAAAAATCATTAACTGTACTCCTCTCTTTCTCTCTCTCTCTCTCTCTCTCAAGGTTTATGGGCTCTCTAAAGGTTTATTGAGGTCTACTGAGAATATTATCCTGAAATATCCAGAACCATAACACAATAACATGAATATCATTATATCCCCATTTAAAATTGAAGAATGTATTAAACTCTGCACACAGGGCTGCTGAGATTGCACTGTGTTTATAGAGTGGAGATAAGTTACACAACAAAGCAAACAATGAACATCAAATCTGACTGTTAAATGCACACACACACACACACACAAACACACACACAGACACAGACAGCACTAAGCCAGATAGGCACAGCAACACACACTCTCTCTCATTCACACACATGCACACATAGACAGCACCAAACAAGCGAACACAGCATCACGCTTTATCTCATCCACACACGCGCATATATATATATATATATAAAAAGAGCATCCACGCAGATGCGTGCATGCTTGCTCGGGAGTGATATTATTAGACCACCCGCTTCCGTTCAAATTACACCAGAGTTACCGCCTTTTCCCTAAATTTAGGGAAAATTTATTCCTGCACTGCAAGAAATGTGGTCGTCTCCTGCGGTACAGCAGCGGGCATGCAGACCTCTAGTTCGTATCTACCACATCTCGTTCGGTCGAAACCCGAAATACTGCCAAACTGCAGAGGTTGTGGTTTTTTTTTTTGAGACCAGGTCACTTGGTGCGCGACTCGCCATCTTACCTCATCTCTCTTTCTCTCCTCCACATTGTCCCGTGATGACAATCACGCATGCACATTTTCAGGCATTAGATAAATAATATTTGAAAGTTGTCACCTATTTAAGTGCATTGTTTTTTATGATGGTATAACTTAAAGGATTCGGATTTCTGCCTTCCAATCCGTCTCATCATGGATCAACATTTATCCTATTCGCATGTCCTGTTTCTCATCATTTTTATTAAATATAATTATTTGATTATTTAACTTTGAAATGATTTTAACTAATGAATAAGTTAAACGCACTGCATTTTCTAAGAATGTTTAGTGCATATGCCTGTCTCTGTGTAACTTTTTTAGGAGTCAACAAACTAGCTCAGAGGTCACAGAGACCTTGAGTGGAGCTGAGGACTGAGAACTGGAAGCAACTGTTTCTGTTGTTATTTCTATGAGTTAATTCTATCTAAAATGTCTCAAGTGATTTTGCTGTTTTTACGGTTAATTCTTTTAAAGTGATTCTACTTTTTTTTCAAGATAGACTTTGTGTAGTAAGGATATTATAACTGCCTGAATGTAGATTATACCAGTTTGAAACCAGTTTTGATAAAGACGGCAGAGAATACACTCAGCCTTGGATAAGAAACAGATTACACTTTAAGTGTGTGTGTTCTATTTGATTGTTGATTCATTTCACTGGTCTGGAGTCAGCTCTAATCAGTCTAAGCTAAGGGATGTCTGATGTTAATGCTTAAGATATTGTTCAGAATATACGCACGAACTCCACGTGGACATTTTCCTAGTAACTGTATTGAAACTGATATCGTTGCTATTTTTAGATCCCACGGTATACCATGTTACCGTATTACCGCCCAAGCTTAATATATATATATATATATATCTATTAGGTGTTTAGATGCAAAAACCTCTAAATGCCATTTGATATTTTCATCTATAATTAGCATTTTTCACAGACTGTAAGAAATTTTTTCACAGCTCAGAAATGTAACATTTATAGTATATAAAATACTTGAACATAAACAGGAGGCTGAGAAAAATAACATTTTAGGAGAAAATTTCAGATGGCATTTAGAGGTTTTTGCATCTGAACTCATATATATTTATATGTACGTGTGTGTGTGATTTATATATTTATATGTGTGTATATATATATATATATATATATAT